ATACTCATCCTCACATCACAGGCGTCGCCAAACTCGTGCACTTCCCCTTCACATCGGGATGCCCCGTCGTCATTCAACCCCGATTCGACCCGGTCCAGTTCTGCGCTGTGATCGAGAAATACAAAGCGACCATCTCCCTAGTGGTCCCGCCTGTCCTCGTCGTTCTCGCGCGCCATCCTGGTGCGCATCTCTACCACTCTCTTCACTGCTTGCTCACTGGGCGGATTCAGCCGTGGACCAGTACGACTTATCGAGCATGGAAATCCTGTTCTCTGGGGCGGCTCCCCTCGGGCATAGTCTGGTCAAGTCTGTGTGTCTCTCCACGTTCCCCTACGCTTCCCTCCGGCTCCTAACATTTACGTAGGTCAAAGACCGGCTGCTGACGAAGCGCGGGGGACGGGGTACCTTGAAGATCACACAAGGTATATATTGTTTCCTCCTGGAGCGTCCACGCTGAAGATATATAGGCTACGGGCTGACCGAAACCTCGCCCACAACGCATCTGCTGCCCGTGGCCGATGCCGACCGTAAAATGGGCAGCATCGGTATCCTACTGCCGAATCTCGAGGCCCGGCTGGTGGATGACGACGACGGCAAGATCGACGCAGCCGAGGGACAGCCGGGAGAGTTGTGGGTGCGCGGAAAGACCGTGATGAAGGTGAATGCGCTTCGTTTCGCTGAGCCTGTTATATTTACACCTTCGCAGGGATACCTCAATAACCCCACGGCGACCAAGAACGCCATCACTCCAGACGGGTGGTTTAAGACGGGCGACGTCGCCATCAGAGACCAGGACGGATATTACTATATCGTCGATAGACGCAAGGAACTCATCAAATACAAGGGGTTCCAAGGTATTATTTTGGTCCACGGCCTGCAGTGATGCTTATTCGTTTGCTTTCAGTACCGCCCGCCGAACTTGAGAACATATTGTTAACGCACCCAGATATCGCGGATGCAGCGGTCATCGGACTAGAAAGCGTCAAGGAGGCCACAGAGCTGCCGAGGTTGGGTTTAGTTTCGTCGCGCGTGCGCCTCGTCTCATTGTTTCTTCTCAGAGCCTACATTGTCCATGCTAATCCGGAGAAGGTCAAGACGACCCAGGCTAAAATAGAGTTTGCAAACAAGGTTGTTAAGTGGATGGAAACCCAAGTGGCAAGACATAAGTTTTTGCGAGGCGGCGTGGGCGTTATAGACGTTGTACCCAAAAGGTGTCTGAGTTCTGCTCACAATAACTCGTGGACCGTTAACACGCCTCTGCAGCGCGGCTGGGAAAATTTTACGGCGCGAACTCAGGGAACTGGCCAAGCAACAGGCAGAACGAGGAGAGTTGGGAACGGAAGTCAAGGCCAGACTGTAAATTTATACCACTATCTACATACACATGTTCTACCCCTCGAGACCACCGTCGACCTGAAATGTTATCAGTCAGCGTCGGCAGTTGGAAATGGTAATAACAAGAGGATATCCGGTCAGAAGTGTCAAAAGTTTTGGAGCCCGCCCCCCTGAGAGGGTATACACCATGAAGAAATTCAAAAGATCCAACGCATCATAGGAAGAAAAAGAATATGAGGAGAGGCTCACCTGCTGAAAGCAAACCCGACGCTACCAGGAACAATAAAGTTCGGGGAATGAAAAAATTGGGAGAACTGCGCCGAATGAGAGTGAGCCCCATTGAGTTGAGGACCCGGGAAGGGTCGACAATCGTATAACTATGTCTATGAGCAACAGATTGCCCTTCATTGAGCAAACCACCCGAGCAACAGGATGCTCGTATCTTCGCAGCCTGCGCCTTGGTCGAGTGGTTCGCCGGCAGAGGGACACCGGAGCGGCTGGGAGGGAGCAGCGACAAGGATTCACCTGGTCGTGCAAGACATTCCCGCCGTCCTCGACCAGACCGACGTGCTTGGGGCCGGTTGGTTTCCATGGATGGACGAGGACATACTCCGGGTCTCCGGGGACTTTCCCCACAGCGGAAGGCGAGAGCGGAAGCTCTCTGTGCGGGAGCTGCGACAACGATTCTTCAGACGGCGCAGAGGTAAAGATCAACCGGTGGAAAAAAACCCGTATTTATAGCTTTCATTTCAATTGTTGGGGCATGTTGACCGGCAGACTGAGCGTCGGAGTTTCAACCCTAGACGCGTCGTCCATGTCTACGACACGTTCCACGCAGACCAAGCAGGCCCAACGGACGGTACGTCGTCCCCTCAGTCCAAAGACCCCATCCTCATCCTCTCCAGGTCATATTTGCAAACCTTCCGACCCTCAAGGTCATCGAGCCGCCGAAAGGTATCTGACTTACTGCGTCCATCGGTTCAATATCGACGTCATCTCCTAGGAACCTTTTCCACCCGGAACGACCAGTGGTGTCTGACATATTGCTCCCAAAACGTCAGCGGGCGTATCCATAACAAGGCTCCGTGGTGTCGATCGGTGTGCATCCGCAAAGTCTTCTCGCACGAAGTGCGGAACATCCTGCAGTTCAAGAGCCACCGAGAGGTCGATGCGGATGGAAAGGCCCGATACCCACTTCCCAAGGAAGGTCAGCCCATAAATCTGCCGCGGTATCTCGGTGGGAAGCCCACGGATGACCCCGAACACGGCAGGAAATCTCCCGCCGACATCAAGTATTGGGACGAAGGCTGGTACCTCTGGAAGACGAACAGTTTTCTCGGCGTCTACAGTAGCATCCATATGATGCCGAAGACCCTAGAGGCGCAGGGCCTGGAGGAGTCGCAGAAAAAGGCGAAGCGGCAACTGTACAAGGAATACCAGGAGTTCCTGCGCTCGGGCCAGCCACGAACGCAGGAGAACAAGTGGCTGGGTCCCATCGTTCCTCCCAATTTCGGTCCAGATCCAGCGTGCGTTCAAGAGTCCGTCGCGTCCTGATTTTCTAGCGCTGACGGTATCCTGTCTTTTAGGCCGGAATCGCTCCTAGTGCATATTCCGCTCGACTCTGGTCCCCTTTTCGAGCCCATCTACAATGTTCTTGCTCCCGCGCAGCACTCTTTACAACTCTTTCACGAGAACTGGAGCGCCGGTAACTACCAGAAGTTTGCGCAGCGCGTCTGGAACAAGACCTGGACCGGCGAACCCATCACTCTTGCGAGCCGGGCGTGCAACTTTGGTTACGAGCAGTGGAAAAACAAAAACAAGGGCCCGGATGAGGATGACAAGGAGAAGGAGGCGTAGGTCTGCGTAGGTCGTGCCTCAAACTGTATCATCTGCTATTGTATCTGTATTGCTCGCAAACTATCATACCTCTCCTTAGAATTAAATACCAGCACATGTACTCCTTACATATCCTACCGTCGTTCTGACTCGATGAGACTCACCTGCCGCTGCTGACAGTGCTGAGTGAGTGAAAGATTTGCTCCAACCGTCAACGTGATCCAGTCGGCGTGATCTCATTGGCTTTGTCACCATCGCATCGCGTCTTACCGTGACTGGCTTTAAAATGCGGCGTTCATCGTTTGTCCGCTCTCATCTCCCCGATGTCCACCCCGCTCGAGATAAAAAACGTCAAGCAATGGAATGAAACCCTGCGGGCGGCTACCGCTGCCGGAATGACCGTTCTCGTCGATTTCCATGCTCAGTGGTGCCAGCCGTGCAAGGCGGGTATTTGTTCATTCCCGCGCACGAAAGACCATAACTCATTTGAACCAGGCCATAGCTCCTAGATACAGCATGCTAGCGTCCGAGGTACGAACCCCTCGAAACCACCTAAACCGAGCCTCACGCCATGTCTCCGAAAGAATCCCCACGTTCGCTTCCTGCGCGTCGATGTAGACCAACAGAAGGCCATTGCCACAAAATACCAGGTCACGGCTATGCCGACTTTTCTGGCAATCAAGGCCGGCAAGGTCATCGACATGGTTGGTCGCTGTCTATGTCTAGATTTGACGTTGTCTGACCAAGCTCAGGTTCGTGGGGCTGACCCTCAGGGCCTCGCTCGTCTGGTATTCCAGCACGGCGGCCCAAACCCTCCTGTTGCACCGCTCCCCGAGGAAGCGGAGGCAGCGAAAGTTGCCGGAAACGTGTGTCGTATATTGTATTTCTTCCAGATTGATCCTCATTTTCTTCGACAGGCCTTGTACAAGGAAGGGCGGTACGCGGAGGCAATCGAAAAATACACCGCAGCCATCTCGCTGGCCCCAACTTCAGCAGCGCTATACGGCAACCGCTCCATCGCATATCTTAAATCGATACCCCCAGACCACGACCTTGCCCTTGCCGATGCCCAGAAGGCGACCGAGGTGGAGCCTAAATGGGGCAAGGGGCATGCCCGACTCGGAGAGGCGCTGCAGGCCATGGGGAAGGACGAGGAGGGTGCCAAGGCGTTCGAGCAGGCTGTGGAATTCTCCCAGGGACTTGCAAAAACCGAGGCAAAGCAAAAGCTGGACGCAGTGAAGAAGAGGCTTGGTTGGCATTAGAATCCGGCGCGTTTCTGACATCCCATGTATCTTTAGGACCAATTATATTATAGTGCAAGTCATTACTGCACGTCGGTCGGAAAAAACTAAGACTCTGATCTCTGGAACAACTAATCTTGGTCCTCCAGCCTTGAGTAGTTCCTCCATGGACAATTTGCTCTGAATAAAAACTGTTGTCTTTTTGTAAGGGTTCCTCTCAAGCTTCCGTTCTGGAATCAGACTTTTCAAGAAGCCAATAGGGAGGGCCTATTGGGCATTTATAATAAAAGGTTCGGATAGGAGTCGAACGAGAAACCTCTCAACAGCAGTGCACTGCCGAATTTGGAAAGTACACCGCGCTCCCACCTCGGGGCGTCATTATTTTTTCCCTGGTCAGCGATAAAATCCTGAAAATATTTGAGCACATAGTGCAGACCTGACAGATCGCAAGGTGATGAGCCGAGGGCAGGGGTCTGTGACGCCGACATCCTGTCGGCCGTATTCACTCTAATCATACGCAGAGGAGGGGGCGAGCCGACTGAAGAAAAAAGAGGATGGAAACGACGAGAGGAAGTAAAATAAATATAATGACAGCAGTGGGGTTCGAACCCACGCCCTTTCGGACTGGATAAAGAATCCGTATAACAGAAAACCTAATTCCAGCGCCTTAGACCACTCGGCCATGCTGCCGCTGGCTTAGCGGAGGACATCTGGGGTTTGCTTGCAATCAGAATGAGTCTAAGGACGACGGGAATCGAATAACAGATGGCCGAGTGATGGCCAATATAAAGCGGAAGCGCTGCAGATCTGGGTTATGTAACATCTGCAAGGCTGAGTATGACGAATGGCGTGAGTGTTATATCCGATGAGTTTAGCCCGGGGTCAAGATGTTGAGCCTAAGGTTGACCCATGCAGATTTGGGATCAAACTGAAATCTGCCGTTTTCCGACCTGATCCTGATTGTATCCACCCTGGGACAACACCATCACTCTCCGCTCACACTTAATAGGGTTTCCGTCCTGTGTAGGTGTGTGAAAAGCTCAGGCAAGTTTTTGAATTGAACTTGAATTCCGGGCAATTGAAAAGGAAGAAAGTTTAAAAAATACACAAACGAAAAAGGGAAGACGGGAACCCCCACAGGAAATAAAAACAGGGTTGCACTAGCTGAGGAAGAATCCAACCGAGTCCCGACGACTCAGCCAGCCTGTGGATCCACAGGACACATTCAAACTCCGCAGGTCGAATGTGACACAAGCCATCATATCATCAGTGACTCCCTCAGTTCACCTCCTCCATGTTCGTTTCCTTCAAGTTTCCTCCTCGTCGACATGACAAGCGCGACTTCTTTGCGTATAGAGTGAGTCTTTAATATACTCTGGAACGCCGTGGACAAGTCTGGGCCAACAGAACGCGTGTTTCACTTTGTCTAACGACTCTTCGACGACTGCCTACGCGTGCTATCCGACCATGGATCTTGCCTCTGCCTACGCACCTGCACATGTTTCACTTTGACGGAGGGACAAAGGAGGGAGATTTTTGGCTGCTGCGGTCTTTGTTTGTTTTTCGCCTTCTGTTCTGGCCTTTACCTACTGTAAGTTCCTCACGAGGAACTCTTCGCTCTCTCTCTAACTCTGCAGCTCCCAGTTTTTTTTTGTAGCGGCTGGTGTTCCCGTTTCACTGGTTTCTCTTGGTCTTGGCTGTTTTCTTCTTTCCAGTTAGGCTCTGCAGATCCCAGTGTTTTTTTTTGTAGCGGCTCGTGTTTCCATTTCCCTGGTTTCTCTTGGTCTCAGCTTTCTTCTTTTCAGTTAGACTTTGGCCCTTGGATTCCGGTTTCTCTACTTGGGTTATGATTTTTTCCAGTCGATAAATTTCCGCGGCCTTCTGCGATTTTTTTTGGGCCAGGATGCCGGTGATGCTGTCGGCGGAAAGAGAAGGAGCAATGCAATATATCCCTTTAAGGAAATTAAGATGCCTGAACCAGGTGGACCTGCGGAGCTTGTGCCGGCGCTCGTCTTTTTGGCAGTCACGAATGTGCAAGAGATGAGGCGTCATAGTGCATAGAGTCTTCGGCTCATTCGTGTTTATTCCTTCTTGCTGTTCTGCTGTCTTCCTGAAAATATGCCTCAGAAGCGCAAGGCCAGTGGACTTTACATTCTTTTGTCCCTCTGCTGAATGAGCTTTTCACAGGCGAAGACATTGTCCATCGACGACACGGTAAACGCGTCTCTGTAATCCGTTTTCAGAATTTACTCAGCATATCTCCCTCCAAGAACAAAAAGCACCCCCGCCGAGTAAGCTTCGCTTCCAGCCCCACTTCACAAGTCTTGGCTGACGACTGGGCTATCAGGAAAGCGCACTCGCGGTCCCACAGACCAGGAACGGGAAGGCCGAGACGCCGGTTCGTAGTTGCTCTTCTCATTCAGTGGAACACGGCAATTGACTCTCCTTCCAAGTGGGTAATCGACGACGAGGACGAGGAAGAAGCTGCCCAAGCCGCAATAGCCCAGTCCTTGCAGGACCTTGCTCCGTTCGGTAACAGCTCAGCGCCTAACATTGAGAACAGCGCTCACTGTACCTCTAGGTGCTCGGCCAAGCTTTCGCGAAAACGAGAAACAACGAAAACAGGATAAATGCGCCAGAGCCGACCATCAAGCAGCCAAAGCTGATCCTTGAGTGGAAAAAGCTGCAACATTTCGTGAAGATGTCGTTGCTGTCTGCGTGAACCGTCTACTGGAACTGATAGAACTCCATCTCGCGACCGCTGTCGTCGTCGAACAAGCCGACGCATTAACTGGATTGCTGATTCGGAATCTCTCTCAGCGCAGGCCACGCATGTCGCTCCTGTCCCTGCCACAAGCCGTGTCTGGACTTGCCTATGTCTGGAGAGCATCAAGTTCCTCGCGGCTGCCGCGCGCGGCCTCCAGTTGCAGGACGTTGAGGAAGCGGTGAGGGACGGAGTGTTGGAACTCAGCATTGAAGGGGATGAACGTCCATTTACGGCTGCCTCTTCTATGAACGGATTTGGCGTTCGAAGACGTCCAAAGCAGGCAAGCCCTCTGTCGCCGCCTGTTTCTACAGGTATCTCAACACGGCACCCACAGATGCGGCTTGGGCCATCCTGGAACTCCTGTGCCTCGGCGAGCCAGTGGAAGACATCCATCGCTCTTTCCGTGACTCGTTATTTGCTGTCGGCCATGGGCCTACCGTCGATCTCCTCTTTCAAACCCTCGCCACGAAAGCCCTGTTTTCCTCCTTCTTGACCACCCTTCTACCCCTCTCCGCCAGACTCACGCCGTACAGCGGGGAGTCCGGCAAATTTTGTCCCTGGCAACGGCACGACAACGACATGAAGGCCACGGCACACAATTCCCTTCCAACCCGTTTTGGTAACTTTGCTTCCATAAACACCGAGCATATTGAGTGGTCCATTTACCACTTGGTCGACCTCGACATGCCGCTGTCCCCCGGCATTCGAACAGATGTTGTGGCGAGTGATGCGGAAGCCGTCCTGATCCGAGTCCATAGGGACCATAACTTGAACTCGGCCGTTGGAGGGTTCATTCGTCGATTCATTCCAGATGACTCAGTCTCGCGATTCGCGCGTACTCTCCTCCCCCCGCTAGACAATGTGTATGGGGCGTACGAGCTCCCGCACCTCTCGGCTCTTATTGCAGCTTTCTTACAAGACGAGCGGCGTTACATTGACCATCACCACCCTGGACAGTCCATTTCGGAAGAGGCATATTGTTCTGCTCTCAGGAATCTATCTGGTGTCCTCCGTGGATTGGCTCCCGAGGCCTCTCGTATTCCTCTGTCTCATGAAGGATATATCCCAGGAGGATATGCAGGGAGATAGCCAGGCGCCATGGCAAGAAAATACGGGAAAGGCATTACAGTATATAGACTCGTCCAACACCTGCTCAACGACAACATCCCTCTACTCGGCGACCTCACTGCCGCACAGATCGCGCGTTGGCTCGGGATTTCCCTGGATTTCTGGCGGTTTATACTCCAGCATATATGGTTTTGGATCCATTGTGCATGGTTCAGCCGGTTGTTGATGACGATAAAGCCGGTGGTTGTCGGAGTTTGGTCCAACCATGTTTTCCACAATGGCCATGGCCGCACTGGAATCTGTGTGGGAGAGGGTTCCAGACACAGAGAGGTTGCTTTTTTGGCGGGTACAACGAGCGATAGTTTCAACACTTTCCTGCCGCAGACTCCTAGCCCGGACTGGTATCCTCTTACCAGAGATGGCAACTACCTCGAAGCTGTTGGGACCCTCCTCATCATTCAGACTGGCTTCGACACGACCAAGCTGTGCTTAGCCATTCCAAATCTGGACTGTGGTCTCGTCAAATATGACCCCTCCGACTCCTGTCTGGTTGAATATATCCTTTACGTGGTCAGCATAATGGAGCAGGTGGCAGTGAGGATGGTAGAGTCGATGCGAGCGGCGGGGACAGTCCCAAACTATGAAGACGCCGATGCAGCTTGGCTCTATTTCGAAACTTTGCGCTCAAGGGTGGAGACAGAACTGGTCAAGTCCGGTTTGCGAGACACCCTGAATAGTCTGAAAGCGAGCTTGGTCATTCCAGCTCTGTTTCTAGTCACCTTGCTCACTTAATGCGACTCATACCACCACCACGTCCCCCGATGATGTCGCCCCGCCATACTCGGTACCCGGGTTCACCGAGGCGGAACCGTTGGGCCCAGCCCGCCTGGCCAATACAATCGCATCATCGCCCTTGGTCGCAAGCTTGCGCGTGGTGGGCTGCCCCCGGATCCGTACCACATCGTCCCCCTCCCTCATCGCGCAGATATGTTTGGTCCCGGCTTCAAAACATGATTCATGGCACAAAAAGCAGGAATTCGGCTGTCAAATTCCTCTGAGTGTGGGATAACACCAACGCAGTGTTTGCATGTGCTGTCGCGAGCCACACGAGGTTCGGCCAGGACCGTGATGTGCAGTCTCGCAGAGGACTTGCTGGAACGGCCACGCTCCATGCAAACAAAGCCGCCTGGGAGGAGCTCACCACCAAATTGTGTGCACTCATCGTCTCCTTGCAAGATCCTTTCCGTCTCCGGCCCAAACAAAAGAAAACCGGCAATATCAGTACGATTGACGAGCCCTGGACGGGACAGTGCACAAGGTGTGGGTTGGACGTAGTCGGCAAGGATCAAAACTGCCTGCATGTTTGTGTCTCGGGCCCCTCTTTGACCCTATCGGAAGAAAATTTTCTGAGTATTCAACTCACGATTTACACCCAAGACATCTTCTGCTCACTGCTACTATCGCCGTTCGCTGGCTCCGAGGCTGAGCTGGGCTTCGTTCGCATCTCGGCCCAATCGGTCATCAACCGACCCGGAAATCGCGAGATTATACAGACTATCCTTCCCGGTATCAACCTCGACCACGTCATTGGGGACATATTCGTGCCTAAGAAGTATTCTAGAACCGAGCGCGATCCCCATGGACTCCAGCTCACCCTGGCCGTCGATTGCGGTCTCGACAGCGCCTCTCTCTGCCCCTTCACGGAGGATACTACATTTCAATGTGGGGAAGCATGGGGTTGCCGAGGGTCGCCCTTGGATTGGCTGGATGGAGACCGTAGGTTTTTAAACCATCTGAATCTAGCCTTTGATTAACTGTTACCTAGTATCTATCATGAAGTGCGCACATGGTACTC